AGGTTCCCCGTCGGGGATCGGGGTCGGGGACGGGGAAGTTTTGGCCATCGGGGATCGGGGACGGGGAGGGTGGTCCCCGGCCCCGCCCCGCCCCGTTGCCACACCTATGTGAGAGGAAGGAAAGAAATGAGAGAAGGAAAAGAAAAGGGAAGAAAGAAAGAAAGAGAGGAAAGAGAGGAAAAATGACTAGAAGTTAGAAATATCTTTGATAGTGAAAAGAAATTGTAAGGTATTAAAGTTAAGGTGAGTTATATTATATTTTGAGTTATTAAAATATATTTTATTTATGTTTTGACTTTACCATACTTATTTTATACAGGTTATGTTTTATAAATTATTATAAATTATATTAATATTTCAGTTACGTGGATTAATTTCTGAACTCTATTTGTTAAAATGAAACTCATAGATACATTTGCTTATATTTTAAAGAATATTTGACTATAACCTTATAAACAATTATGTTTTGTAAGTACCACCACGGGATTCTCACGTCTTGGGGGATTTAAATAATCATTGGCCTTTGTTTGGTCACTTTGTGATCCTCTATTGTTATGGATCCATTGACCCTCTATTCTGTGCAGAGCAAAGTACTGTGTGGAGATAAGTGCTACACTATTGTGGAAGTCACCTCTATAATCTGTACGAGTTACCTCTTAAATCCATACCTTTGTTCTGACTGTCACTCCTGTGACCTCTGTTCTGTTCCGTTCGGTATCGTGGTTATGGTTATTTATTTACACAATCTCAGTTTTGCTACTTAAATGATTATTTGTTCAAACTAAGTTATCTTAAATCTTTTAGTTACATAACTATACATGGTTATTTTGTGTCCCTTATACTCTTGGCATAATATTTCTCACTCTGCCATATGTTTATAGTTGTTTACCAATTTTCAGGAAACAGTGCAATTCAGAAATAGCTTTTGGAAAGTCTTAGATGTAGGGTTGCGGAATAGACATGCACAACACTTTTATGATATTTTTATATGTAAATATTGGCATTTTTGGTCAATAAATTTTGTAATAAAAATAGAAACTCCGATGATTATTTTGGTACTCTCACTTAAATATTACTTCCGCTCGCGTTTATTAATTTGTTTAAGAATTGACCGGAGGTAACCTCAGTTACTAGCCATCGCGATACTTAACTCTTTGGTACGGGGAGCGGGTTGTGACAATATTCTAATTATTTTTTATAAGCAAAGGCAAAGGAAAAAGATAAAGCAATATCCAAGGAAACATAAAAAGCTATCCCTTATGGCAAAGGAAAAGAAAATGCACATCCCATGGTATGATTTTTCAACAATTTTTAAAAGTTTCTTTATTATATAGATTATTTTTTAGAAATTGCATAGTGTCATATACTATTTTTTATGTACATTTTTTAAAAGTTTCTTTTTCAAATATTTATTTAGTTTTTTTTATTGAATGTGAAATATTTTTCTGAAGCATGTTAAAGTAAGCATTTGTACAACATGCTAATGCATTTGTATGAATATTAATTTGAGTTTTTAATATGTTTGTCTATTTGTATGAACACATGTTGCATTTACAACACAACATATTGAAAATATGAGAGAGGAAAACAAAAAAGGAAAAAAAGAAGGAACAAATATGTGATGAAAAGAAAACTACATTATATAATTTTTTTAAATTTTTTTTTCTTATAAGAAGTTCTTAAGGAAAGAAGAAAAAGACAAAAATGCATTTTAATATAACAAAAAGAATAAGAAGAGTGAAAAGGAAAGTAGAAAATATTACACACTAATATTCACATTTTACGTACCAAATGATCTAATATTTACCTTTTCAACGTACATTTTGTAAAGAGATGAGTAGTGTCTTTAAACCAACAAGTGCATGCATAGCGAGTTTGCAGTTTTGTGTGCTTAATGTGTTTTCAAATTATTTTTTCCTCCCTTTTTAAATTTTATTAATACATGCATTGGTTCTTATATGATTAACAACTTAACCAAGTGAAGAGGAAAAGTTAGTTAAAAGGAAGAAAAAATACATGATGAAAGGGAAGCAAGTTAGTTAATCTTCACATTTTATGCACCTTCTTGTACAATATTCTCATTTTAGGCACACAATGATAATGTGTTATCAAAAGCTGCATTGGCCCAACGTGCACGGCGAGAACGTGAAAAAAATCAAAAGCCATGTTCTGCATACCAATTGGGACAACGCCTGCGACGAGAACGAGAAAGAGAAAGATCGAAGGAATGTATTAACCCAAGACAACCTTCTTTAACACCAAATTGGTAAAAAGAAAAAGAATCTTTTACCCAAGACAATTTTGAATTTTTTACTCTTACTATTACCACTTTATTATATAGATTTTAATTTGTTCACAATCTATTTCTGTAGGCCTCCTCCTACAACTCCATGTAGAAATGTTGGTGTTAATCTTCACATTTTATGCACCTTCTTATATAATATTCTCATTTTAGGCACACAATGATAATGTGTTATCAAAAACTACATTGACCCAACGTGAACAGCAAGAACGTGAAAAAAATTAAAAGTCATGTTCTGCATACCAATTGGGACAATGCCTACGACGAGAACGAGAAAGAGAAAGATCGAAGAAATGTATTAACCCAAGACAACCTTCTTTAATACCAAATTGGTAAACAACTGTGTTTAATTCTTGAAACATATGCTCTTACTATTACCACTTCATTATATAGATTTTAATTTGTTCCCTATCCATTTCTGTAGGCCTACTCCTACAACCCCATCTAGAAATGTTGGTGTGGTTATCCGTGATGAGCACGACCTTAATGTTATCCGTGTTCATGCGGTAAGTACAAAATCAAGTCAAACATTGTATATATTTGATTTATATAAGATTATATAAGATTTTTTTAATCTTTTGAATATTTTATTTATATTTGTTAGGCAAAAGAAAAAGAAAAGGTCAACCCAATGTCTAAAGGAAAATAAAAGATGGCTCCTTCTACGAAGAGAATGACAAATGCATGTCAAGTGGTATATATTCTTTTTAAAAAATATGATGCAAAATTAATCAAAATTTTGAATAGTTAAAAGATATGAATGTATAAAATATATTTGTTGTTCTATGTTGTTTTTGTAGAATGATTGTAATATGTTTTCCTGTAACTTGCTATTATTTGTATATGTTTTTCAAATTTATTTATTTTTATTTTGCATGGACACATGTGTATTTATAATGTACCATTCATAAGTTACTACTTATATGAAGAGAATAGGAAAAAAGAAATGAAGGAATAAAAAATATATATATAAAGAAAGGAGAAACTAAATAAGATAGGTTTTTAATTCTTATTTATTTTTTTAATAAAAAACAAAATGCATGAAGAAAGAAAGAAATAAAGATAACACTATTAAAGGTATAAAACAAATAAAATAGAAAACAAAATTAAGAGAAAGGTAAGAAATAAGAAGATAGTTTCATTTTAAGCACAAAATATTCACATATTTTGCATCAATGATAAAATATTTTTATTTTACACACAAAATGATAATGTAATATCAAAAGCTGTATTGGCCTAATGTGCACGGCAAGAGCGTGAAAAAATTGAAAAGTCATACTTTGAATTTCAATGCTTGCAACGAGAACAAGAGGGATTATAAGAATGTATTCAACTAAGACAACGTTCTTTAACACCAATTCGTCCCGATCGCACTCGTTTGGAGTGGGAAACAATAACTGAAGATTCTCATTCGGCACAAAAATGAACAATAGTTACCCATCATTCTACATGTTCGTTTTCTATGCCAAGCACATCTTTAACTCCACAAAGGAATCGGTAAACTACTGTGTCTAATCTTGAAATACATACTTTTACTCATACCGTTTTGTTTTTCATAATTTTATTTATACACAAATATTCGTAGGTTTACTCTTATAAACTGATTTCTTTAACAAGATCTATGTAGTGATAATGAATTAGAAGATATACCTACGAGTACATCAATTGACGCCCGGACACACAAAGATTCTTGCCGCCATTATCTTGGCAAGATAGATGTATTATGTCCTTATTATTTAGCCTTATATTGGATGGATGAAAAATTGGCAAAATCATCTATGAAGCGTCCCTTATTCAGAACTTGCTATTTGGAAGGAAAGATTAGGCTACCTTTATTTATTACACCCCGTCCACCACTTCAAACATTGTATTATGAGAATAATGATCAATCGAAATCCTTTTGAAGTTATACTCGAGTGTACAATGCAGCCAATGCTTTTACGAGTCTTGGTGCTACATTGGATCCTAGAATACTCAGTGGAAGGGGCCCTACATCGTTCACAATTCATGGGGAATAGCGATATCGAACAAGGTCACTACAACCACAACCAGGACAGGATGCAAGTTATGTTCAACTGCATATCTATGACCCTTATTCAGTTTTAGAAATTCGTAATCGTAGAAATCCTAACTTGAAAAGGAATGTTCTCAAAACTATTCAGGATAGTTTGTTGCAAGTCAATGCATTTGTAGATAAATTTTTCCAAGATCATGCCATTTTACATCAATTAGACTCAACAGGACACAATCTACATGCTCATCTTCATTACAATTCAATAACTGATAGACGTCAGTATAACCTACCAGCTACAAATGAGATTGCAATTGTAATACCATGTGATGGAATAGAGGTAAATGGAATGAGAGATATTATCTTACATTTTTTAGAAAATATTGAGTTGATGCAAATTAATGAATGTCACCCAGTATACTTGCCATTACATTATGTTCTATTATTTCCATATGGTGAGTTTGGATGGGAACCTGAGTTGAAATTGCGGAACGTTCAATATGATCGATCTTCAACTGATCGACTTACTCAAATAGATTTTTATAGTTATTGTTTGTTTGAACGACCCACAGAGTATTCAACAATTTTGAGAGATAGGAAATTATTTCAAGAGTTTTTGGTAGATGCTTGGGCTGCAACTGAGCAAAATCGATTGACACTACAAGCTTAATCAAGGAAAACTTTAGGCTGCGCTTTACCAAAAGTTGTTAGATACAGATCCAGATTATGTGCGACCGGGTCAAATTAGTCAAAGGTTTGTGTCATGACCCGAACTCGCTCCTATGGGTTAAGGACATAACCGGCCAGTAATCAAGGGATTACCTACGGCCTCAAACCAAACAAGACATAACTTTACAGAGTAAAAGGGCCAAACGGAAGCAATTTAAAACTTTTGTCCATAGAGCTGTGCTTACGTGGCACATCATAACAGTCCATATATATATACCTGTTAATAACTCACATTAAAGGGATAACAACACAAAGTTCTGTACATACACAGGATCATTCAAGTCTTAGTCATCCTAACCAAAACTTATATACAAGGGTAATCCAACATTCTCGCCAACATAACAAAATGTAACAAAATAGCAAAAAGGCAAAAACAAGTCTCGTGCGTGAGACGTATGGGCTGACTCTTTAAAACCTTGAATGTTTCACACATATTTCACTGAGGCTGGGTTTGGACGTTCCTTGGCTCACCTACATAGACATAAATGAGCGTGAGCGAAAGCCTAGTGAATAATATCAAATAAGGAAGATACATGAACAATCTTTGAAATAGTTACATCAGACGGCCTTGGGCCCAATTTATGTTTCTATTTAATGTACTAATCGACTAAAGTTCTAGATGTATCAAACGGCCTCAGGCCCAATTAACTCATACCCGACGACCTTTAGCCCATCAATTCATGTCTAACGGCCTTTTTGGCCCAATCGTTCGTATCCGACGGCCTTTGGCCCAATCGTTCATATCCGACGGCCTTCGGCCCAATCGTTCATATCCGACGGCCTTTGGCCCAATCGTTCATACCAAACTATCATTCATGTCAGACGGCCTTTGACCCAGTCATTCATATGTCAGACTATCATTCATGTCAGACTATCATTCGTGTCAGACGGCCTTTGGCCCAATCATTCATATGTCAGACTATCATTCATGTCAAACAGCCTTTGGCCCAATCATTCATATGTCAGACTATCATTCATGTCAGACTATCATTCGTGTTAGACTATCATTCATGTCAAACGGCCTTTGGCCCATTTATTCTTTCATTCATAACGGATGGCCTTAGGCCCAACCATATGGCATACGAAACATTTGTCCACAATTCGAATTAACAAACTTATAAGACTTATGGGGAAATAAGTAATTGGACAAATAACATACTTCAAAATATCTTTATTAAGATATTACTCACTGTATTCTGCCGGTGGATTTGCCTTGAAGCTCGACCCTACACATTACATAACACATATGGGTCATAATCAATTCAATCCGTTCTTAATTCATACATCTCTCTTAGGCTTCTTTTTTGTTCTTTTAATTCATTCATAATGCTCAATGCATGCCTAAGAGTACTTAGAAGTGAAAGAGAACGGAAAATGAAACACAGAACACTTTTACAAAATTTCTGAAACAGGGGTCTCCGCTCGAGCGTGGGTTCCGCCGCTCGAGCGGACCCTTATGGTCTGCAAAAGTACTGGTTACCTCATTTTTACGCTCGAGCGTGAATTCGAACGCTCGAGCTGAAGGTCACACTACATGGCTCCCCGCTCGAGCGGACATGCCGAATTATGGGTTTTCCAGAACTGTTCTTGAAGTTCAATTTTGATGTTCAAAGGTTCCAAACTCATGATTTCAGTTCAAAAACATGTAAACACATTACATTACATGGAAATATAAGAGTATGACACCAAATTGTTCAAAATCATCATTTCATTCTCAAATAACCCTAATTTCTTTTGTATGATCAAAACCCATGCATTCAAACTTCATACCAAATTCACATCTCTATCAATTTCAACATGCATGTTAGTCTCTGACCCCAATTCCATTTCAAATAGCACCAATGATGCTTATAACCATGAAACTCAACAAAACCATGCTTGCATGTATGCTTTAATGCTCAATCTTTCATAATTCACATATTACATGCTAGATTATGTAATTTCATAGCAATTCTTTTCATGCATGAACACATGGACTTCAATCTCAACTTAATCAATTCAAATCATGATCTAACTTACCATTTAATCTTCAATTCACAAAATCACAACTCAAACTCATGAATTAAGGGTTGATTACTCACCTAGGAGCTTCAAACACTCAAGTTCCTTGAGTTTAACTTCCAATTCTCAAGCCTTGAGCCAAAATTGCACAATTCTCCCCCTTTTCTCTCTCTAGAGCCGACCTTACTCTCTCACTAAAGTATAAAATCTGATTTTGAGCTCAAAACTTAAGGGGTGTGGGTGTATAATGGCCCTTATGTAGCCCCTCTTAATCAAAGTCCCTTAACACTAATTAATTGAGCATTATTTTCATCAATTTAATCTATTTAATTTGATCCGAATCAATTTTCAATTAAATTTTACCG